TACATCAATCATGTAAAATCACTGCCTTGCTATTTGTCCCTTATCTCCTTTCTGTTTTGTTTTCTTTTGCTTTGTTTCACTTTCATCCCTAGGAGGCATAGTAACTGCATGTGGAGAGAAGATCCTGGTGACTCTTTGAAGCTGGAGGAGATTTCTTCTCAACTGTCCGGTTCATCATACAGACGATTGCATGATGTTACATAAAAAGTTAATATGAAGGAAGCAGATTGTATGTGATTTTTCTATTTCCTTTACAGATTTTGTAGGTCTAAGATTTTTTGAAAGAAATAATAATCCTATAAAAGAAAGTAAGCATATCTAGCAGCATATGCAATATTAAACAGTTGCCTGCAGAAATATAAAACCCAATCCAAAGTTCTTTCCTTCAATCCAATAGCATGTGCACTCTTTTTAGTAATATATGAATGATGGCTTTTTAATATGTCCATAGTCACTTTAATATATGTATAAAATTAGAAATAGTAGTACCAATACAATTTGTTTTATATTTAAAATAAGGGAGACAGCTCAAAATAAACATGCTGTTGCTTTTTCCCATGCATTTTATTTATAGAATCCAGAGACTCTTTGAATAAACATTAAAGATAATACAGTCATAAAATTTCCCTCTACATTCTTAAATGAGAAAATAAGAAAGCAAAATTAGTAACAAGACAGTAACAAGAAAATTGTTCGTATAAATACGCTGTGACATTATGAAGCTGTTTGGAAAATTTTGAAATGGCAATTTAGACCAAGTGCCACCATTTTCTTTGCATTTACTAGATCCCAAATATTAACTCACTGAGACTGTGATCTCACTTGGAAGATATGTAACCAACCACAGGTGACTGCATTTTATTAGACAATGTTCTTTTATCTTTGGGTGTCATGCTTGCCATAGATTGATTCCAACTCATGGAAAGCCCATGTATCCAGAGTAAAACCGTGTTATATACAGTGTTTAATGACTCAGTTTGCTTCTATGAATAGAGTTAATTCTCCAACTCAAGAACATTAATCATTTTTACCATCCAAGGATGTCAATCACTGAGGTACATAATCTATTTTACATTGTGTGTATTGAGGATTGGAGGGCATTGGGAAACAATTGTAAATATAGTGCAGTTTTATCTGAATCATATATAAAAATAATTCAAATAACAAGTTTAAAGCACAAAAATCAAGTGTGTTGACTTAGTCATTGGTGCTGGACAAATTGTGATACAGACAAAAGTAATTTTAGTAAGTGGCACACCAGTCTAGAAAGAGCTTTGTTGAGATGACTTACAGTCAAGATTTGTAGCAGAGGCTCTCAATGAACTGTTTGTATCCCTTACCCTCATCAATTCATTGCATACAGGAGCAATTCTCAAACAATGATTCATAGAAGTTGATATAACAATACTCCAATTTTCTTGCCCCTCACAAAAGATAATTCTAAAGGCTTTGTTGTTGTTGTTGTTGTGTGTCGTCAAGGTGATTGCAACTCACAGCAAACCTATATGACAAAGTAGAACAGGCACCACATTGTTTCCTGAGTTATAAGAGGACCACTGAGTGTTCTGTGGAGAGGCTGTTGAGTTCAAACGGCTTATGTTTGAGCCAACTGCCGAGTTCTTAACCTATGTGCTACCAGCACTCCTTCTAAGGGGCAAATTCAATACTATCTCCACGGTTTCCTAAGTCGCTTAAAAATCCCTCTACTGAGATGATTACTGATCATCTTCTGAATCAACTAAGTGCATTTGATTCCTTGTTTCAGCATCTGCTTACATTAAACCCAAACGAAGGTGAAGCTATAATCACCTCTTCTATTCTTGGCACCAGGATGCTGAATAAAACAACCCTAGTTTTCATCTATGAAGCCAATTTGGAGGATTGTTTGAATCGGTAATTTATAAAGATAACAAAAAGAATAGCTGGCTGTGACTGAACCCACACTGTAGGATTAGATTTGGCTATGAGTTATGGTCAGTAAACCCAAGCATCACCAGACTCAACACACTGAGGGGTTTACCCAGTGAAAGCGATGTTATGAATTTCCCATTTCCTCTGCACTCAGAATGAAGATGCTCTCTGAGGAAGAGACGACAAGAAGAACGAGGTCTCTCTATGTTTGTCCAGTCTATATTTCTCATTTGGTATTGGTGGTTTCTTCCAAGTCTCTTACTATGTCCTGTGCCATTTTCCTATGATGATCTTCAAAGAAAAAACTTTCAAGCATCTAAAGAATGGGCAATAAATGGCACCTTACATGCCAGACAAATAGGAATAACAAAATGCCTTAACAAAATAATGGATCACATGTCCTATAGCTACAGACTATATGGGAAACATACTCTTTTATCTTTAAACTATAAATTCTGGTGACTAGAGAGAACAAATGAATCATAGGGGATTTGTTTATTGCCTAATAATGAGAGGCAGTAATGAGTTCAAGTACAAAGAAAAATCCACCGGCTTGCATCCCTCACGGGCTCATGCAGTGGCGCTGCCCATATCGGGCTGGAAGGGTGCAGCACTACACACATGGGGCTTCGAGCGGTTTCTGCCGCCCATTTCCTGCTGTGGCTGTGCTCGTGATCAGCTTCCCGTTGAGATATCCCTGCATCCTGAGATTGTATTTCCTGCCATATAGTTTAGGGAACATGACTGAGAAGACTCTTTATATCTGTCCTAGGGGCTTGAATACTAGGCTTTGACAAAGAATGTAAATAATAGTTCCTAAGCATGGCTGACTGAACATTCAAATTCTCATACAGGATTTTTAAAAATGCAGATTCCTAGGCCTGACCAATTCAAAATGACCAAGGTAGTCGGATTTACTGTTTTTTTTATTCAGTCGAAATGTGTAATAAACTATCCCAAATATCTTAATGACTTTTAAATGTTTGTTTATTGCTCAAAGTTTTGCAAGTCTGCTTGGCTCAACTGGACTGGACTAGGCATGACTTAGGTTTAGTCTGTGCCACATGTCTCTCCAACTAAGCACAGATGAGAGGAGAGTAGCTACCAGAGCTGGCTCTGTTCCTGGTAGGTGACAGGAGTGTAAGAAGATGAAAGGAAACCTTTGATGACCTTTAACACCCATATTTGGAACAGTCCCACCCTTATTTCTACCCATACTTCATTGTTCAAAGCAAGTCACATTGGCAAGATCAAGAGTAAGGTTAGTGAGATCAGGAAGTATTCTTGTACAACCAGAATGCTCCTTGGCAGCAAGGATGGCAAAACTTTATCTCATGTAATTTGGACATGTGATAAAGGGAGACCGGTACCTAGAAAAGAACATCATGCTTGGTAAAGTAGAGGGGCAGTGGGAAAGAGGAAGACCCTTGACAAGATGGACTGACACCATGGCTGCAATAAAGGGCTCACACATTACTGTTGTGAGGATGACACAGGGCCAGGCACTGCCTCCTTTTGTTGTACGTAAGGTTGCGGAGTCAGAACTCACTCCACAACAACAGTCAACTTATAAAGAAATCTCATGGGGCCTTCGATGCAGATTGGGAGAAGGCACGTGATGTACCAGCAGAGGAGACCATGGCCATGTAGGTCACTTCCTCAGACAACTCACCTGTGCTTGCGCCCAATCTCATCCTGGAAATGACACACTTAATGATGAATTGCTGTGGTGCACATCCAACTTTATGAGTTTGTAGGTCAGCCAACAACCAGCTCATGATACGCAGTTCAGGTCACATAGTGACTTGGTGGCTCTTGGTTACTTGTTTGATTTCTACTAAGCCTAGAAACAAGCCAGAAGCTGTTTCTGCAGAGGATAGCAAGGTTTTGCTCCAGAATCCTAAAGGTGTGCACTGTGCTTGACCTTCAGGCGCCTGCAAAACACTCTGAGCAGCACCTTCTTCTGTCACTGAAACTCTAAGCACCATTGTAACAGCTAGATCATATGGCCCAAAGCTCAGAAGCGTGAACCTGTTGCATAGCCTTCTCGAGTTCTGGGCCACACTCAGAAGCTTTTTGATTCACTTGAAAAATGGCTGTAAGAGCACATCCAAATGAGGGATGTTGCCTCCACAATCCAAAGAGGCACACCAGATTTTGCGAGCACATATACACACCTCCTTTTTGTTGTAAGGAGTGCCAGTTACAGCAACTTCTCTCTCCCTTTAGAAGGCCAGTCTTAACATACCTTATACCACTGGACCTGCTAGAAACAAAATTTCACACCTGCACACTGTTCTCTTAAATCAGCCATCACAAAAACGAGATTTGAGCGAAACTGCTTTTATAAAAAACTATCTCTGTGACCAGAGAGAACCTTCCCAGGTGACACCACTGGGTGCACTACTCAGAGCGAGTTGCTAGATGCTCACCTAGTGGGGAAAAAGCCTTACTACGAAAGCCCCATCTAGCGGAGCTTTTTTCTATTTTGGGGGTGGGAGGTACCCACTCGTATACTGTACACAAGAAGAGACAAGGGTGAATAGTAAGTTTAGGGTTTTGGCTAAAGAATAAATTGTAACAATATCTGATAGCTCCAATCTAAATAGTAGCTAAACAAACACACGCTGTATAAAATTAGAAACATGTTTTACAATTTATGTAATTCAGTAATAGATGATAGTTCAGGGTAGATGGGGAACAAGAGAAGGGGAACCTAATATGAACTCAAGATCAGAGATGTTTCCCTTAGTAGGTGATCTCTGAGTTCAGCTGCTAAAAACCAACCAAACAAACAACAAAAATATAACAACTGAAACCCACCTCCATCGGGTGGAATCCCACGCATAGCTAGCCTCTCTAGGGCTTTCACAAGTGGAAATCTTTAAAGATCAGGTAGCCTCATCTTTCTCTTGCAGAGCAGTGGTTTTGAATTGATCTTGAATTGCCGACGTTACCTTAGCCGACCTTAGCCGTCCAGCAGTTCCTGAGCAGCACCTCCGGAGCTCCATGTGGAGAGGATGGGTCCTGTCAAAAGGGCCTGGGGGCAATGTCTGATCTCTAAATTCACACGTTGGGAGGAGAACCCAAATCAACAGGAACCAAGACCAATTCCTATAAGGCCGAGGTCAGATGGACCACTAACTCCAATTTATTTTTCAAACTAATACTGGTACCAGCTGTGCTCCAACAGCAATCTCTACGTCTCTGCTGAGTTTGACAATACCTTGAAATGGCCCACACAGAACTCACACTTAGGTTTTCTTTAAGGAAGTAACAGATTGCAATTCAGGTTTATATGATTGGTTGGTACAGTCCCCTCTCAGCAATGTCAGCAGACACACTTCCGTGACTGCTCAGGCAAGTGTACAAAGCTCGTTTAAGTCTGCCAGTAAGTGCTCAAAGACTCTCTAATCCACCAGCCAATCTCCCCTACACAGGCACACTGATCACTCCCCCACAGGCCAGGAAGCCC